ATTGGAAGTTGTCAAAAATGAAATGGAATGCATAAACATCAATATCTCAGGTAGTAGTGAGCTGAAATGGACTAGTATTGGCCATTTTTAATCTGACGACCACATGGTTTACTATGCCGAAAATGAAAAATTGAAGATGAATGATGTTGCATTCATCATCAAAAAGAACATATCCAGATCAGTCATGAGGTACTATGCTGTCTGTGATAGGATAATATCTATGCACATACAGGGAAGCCCAGTTAATACTACTATTAACCACTACAGCCAGTGAGGATGAAATAGAAGAATTTTACCAACTTCTTCAATCTGGAATGGATCAAACATGCAATCAACATGTATTGGTCATTACTGGTGATTGGAGTGCAAAGGTTGGGAGCAAAGTGGAAGGATCAATAGTTGGAAAATATGGCCTTGGAGATAGAAATGATGGTGGAGAATGTATGATAGGATTCTGCAAAATCAATGATTTGTTCATTTCAAATACCTATCTTAGACAGCATAAGAGACAAGTATACACATGGACCTCACCAGATGGAATACATAGAAATCAGATTGACTACATCTGCGAAATAGATGATGGAAAAGCTCCATATTCTCAGTGAAAACAAGGCCAGGGGCAGACTGTGGAACAGACCATCAATTGCTCATATGCAAATTCAAGCTGAAGCTGAAGAAAATGAAAACGGGTCCATGAGAGCCAAAATATGACCTTGAATATATTCCACCTGAATTTAGGAATCATCTGAACAACAGATTTGACTAAACACTAAAGACCAAAGACCAGAAGAGTTGTGGGATGACATCAAGAACATCATACATAAAGAAAACAAAAAGTCATTGAGAAGACGAGAAAGAAGGAAAAGGTCAAAATGGATGTCAGAAGAGACACTGAAACTTGCTTTCCAGTGTAGACATGCTAAAGCAAGTGGAAGAAATGAGGTGGTACAAGAGCTGAGCAGAAAATTTCAAATATCAGCTCAAGAAGATCAAGCCAAATATTACAACAAAATATGCAAAGATCTGGAGTCAGAAAACCAAAAGGAAATAACACACTCACCATTTCTCAAGCTGGGGTAACCAAAGAAAAAATTTAAGCTTCAACTTTTGTTATTGAAAGATTCTTTGTGCAAATTATTGAATGATGCAGAAGCCTCAAGAGAAGGTGGAAGGAAGACACAGAGTCACTGTACCAAAAGGAAATGGTTGATGTTCAACCATTTCAAGAGGTAGCATGTAATCAAGAGCCAATGATAGTGAAGGAGGAAGTCCAGGGTGCATTGTAGAAATTGGCAAAGAACAATGCACCAGGAATTGATGGAATAAAAATGGAAAGCTTTCAAGAAAGTGAGGCAGCACAGGAATCACTCATTCATCTCTGCCAAGAAATTTGGAAGACAACTATCTGGCCAACTGATTGAAAGAGATCTGTGTTTGTGATCACTCCAAAGAGAGGTGACCCAGTGGAATGTGAAAATCATAGGACACTCTCTTTGATATCCCATGTGAGTAAAGTTTTACTAAAGGTAACACAGAAATGGCTGCAAGGATACATTGACAGAGAACTTCCAGAGGTTCAAGCTGGATACAGAAGAGGCCGTGGAATGAGGGATATAATTGCTGAGGTCCAATGGATCTTGGCTGAAAGCACAGAATATCAGAAATGTTTACCTGTGCTTTATTGACTATGCAAAGGCTTTTGATTGTGTGGATCATGAAAAGCTATGGACAACATTGAGAAGTATGAGTATTCCAGAACACTTCATTGTACTTCTGAGGAATCTGTACCTGGACAAAGAGGCAGTTGTTCAAACAGAACATGGGAACATTGAATGTTTTAAAATTAAGAAAGGTATGTAACAAGGTTGTATTCTTTCACCATACTTATTCAACCTGTATGCTGAGCAAATAATCAGAGTAGCTGGGTTATATGAAGAAAAACGTGGCATCAGGATTGGAGGAAGGCTGATTAACAACCTGCGATGTGCAGATGATACAACCTTGCTTGCTGAAAGTGAAGAGGACTTAAAACATTTACTGATGAAGATCAAAGAGCATAGCCTTCTGTATGGATTACATCTCAATGTAAAGAAAACAAAAATCCTCACCACTGGACCAATAAACAACATTCTTATCAATGGAGAAAAGATTTAACTTGTCAAGGACTTCATTCTTCTTGGATCAACACTTAAGGAAGTAGCAGTCAAGAAATCAGAAGACATATTGCATTAATCAAATCTGCTGTACAAGACCTTTTTAAAGTGTTGAAGAGCAAAGATATCATCTTGAGGACTAAAGTGCGCCTGACCCAAGCCATGTGTTTTCAATAACCTCTTATGCATGCGAAAGCTGGGCAGTGTATAAGGAATACCGTAGAAGAATTGATGCTTTTGAGTTATGGTGTTGGAGAATATTGAAAGAACCAATAGATCCATTTTGGAAGAAGTGCAGCCAGAGTGTTCCTTGGAGACCAAGATGGCCAAACTTCATGTCTCATACTTCGGACATATTGTCAGAAGGGACCAGTCACTGGGGAAAGTTATCCTGTTTGGTAAGGTGGAGTGTTAGAGAAATAAAGGAAGACACGAACAAGATGCATTGGCCAAGTGGCAGCATCAGTGGCCTCAAGCATTGCATCAGCAGTGAGGTTGGCCTAGGATCAGGCAGTGTTTCATTCTGTTGTGCATAGGGTTATTATCAGTCTTTGCCAACTCGATGGCATCTAGCAACAACAACGTAATCACACAAAAGCAAGAAGAGGGAGAGAAGGAAAAAAAAAATCTGTAACCTAATATGAGTATTATTTTAATGTCCAATTTCACCTTTTTGCCTTTAAAGCTGCTTGATAAATTTTAAGATGCCACTGTTGGTTGTTTTGCTGTACCTCAGAATTTAATTTTCATCTTATTTTGTTTTTAAACTCCCTTACCCTCTCCACCCCCCTTGTTCTGACCTTTTCCCTATTAAAAAACAGTTCAGGGCCGGCTCTTGGGCTGCCTATAGCTTTAAATGCTGAGAGCATCTGTGTGCATGTGTGGTAGAAGAACCCACTAGTGGTGGGGGTTTGGGGTGCCCACTTGTCCACCTTTGCTCAGAGGTTCCTGTGGCGTTATTCCATGATGGGTCTGTTCCCCCACTTGTTCTTGCCATTTGGTCTCTCTTACATTGTCGGCTCCCATTCGCTGAGCCCTGCAGATTCAAAAGCATGTGATTTCTTACTTCCACTACAAGTTCCACTAGCTTTAAGCCTTCAAATTTTTAAATATTTCTACCTATGTGGTTCAGTTTTGGAACTCTGTCTTGAACTTGCTTCGCCTTGTATTCTGTGGTTTTGCTGCCGGAGAACTTCACTGCACCTCTACCATATCCGCCATTGAGCCCTGCTCCCCCCTCCCCACCCCCTCACCCCCTGCATCTTATCTTCTTGGAAGAAGTTGTGGATGAGTCCAGATATAAGATCAAGAAGGCATTTGCCATTTGGAGCCAACAATCTTCTTAGTTTTCTGTCTGAAGAGCTCAGTAAGAGATTATTGTTGATCTGGGAGATAATGTGTTCCCTGTGGTTGACTCACCAGGCAGAAGACTTTCCTAGAGAAGTCACTAATCTGGTCTGACAACTCAACTTTCTGAGACTCTGTTTCTCCATATCGAAATGTGCGTGTGGGGTCTGCAAGTTTTAATAGTATTTCAAACTTTATCAAGAAGAATCCAACTTTGTCTTGTATCTTCTTAATAACTTTCAGTTAATAAAACAAAAGGCTTATTTTTCACTTGTTGTTGCTCTTAGGTGCCACCAAGTCAGTAACAACTCATAGTGACCCTATGCACAGCAGAAAGAAACACTGCCCACTCTTGGGCCAACCTCACAATTGTTGCCATTTTTGAGCCCATTGATGCTGCCACTTGACCAATCCATCTCTTTGGGGGTCTTCCTCTTTTTCCAAACATGATATTCTCCTCCACATTACCAAACATGATATTCTTCTCTAATGACTGATCCCTCCTGACAATGTGTCTGAAGTTTGGCCATCCTGGCCTCCAAGGATCACTCTGGCTATACTTCTTTCAACACAGATCTGTTTGTTCTTTTGGCAGCCCAGGGCACTTTCAATATTCTCCTCCAACACCATACCTCAAATGCATCAATTCTTCTATGGTCTTCCTTATTTACTGTCCATTTTTCTCATGCATATGAGGTTATTGAAAATACCATGGCTAGGATAGCAGAAATTGACAAATCAAATTAGATCCTAAAATTGGCAAGAAAATCAATTTGACCTGAGGAAAAAAAATGGCACATGTTGGCAGTAAACAGAAGTTATAAGTTTATTGACTGGCTGTTGTTTTTCCCATGATATCTCAGAAACTGAGATCAATACGACCAGGGGACAGATATAATAATAACTCCCTCAAGTCATGATCTTTCATCTTTGGAATAGCCTACTTGTAAACGCAGCTTCTACCTGGGCTGGAATGGGGTACTGAAAAAGTGTAATTTTTGCTTATGAAGATCTGGGTTCAAATCATCTTCTATCATTTATTCAACTACATCATACATTCATTTGATACATGTGAATGGCACATTGAATATACATCTTTGAATAAATTAAACAAGGTCCTTGCTTCATGGGGTTTATAACCTAGTTGCATAGGAGCACAAAACAGGAATCAAATACATTTCTGAGTACAAGTTGAGATAAGTGCTCTGAAAGAAAGATGCAAGTTTAGTGTTTGTTGAATGATATCCGGCTAGTAAATTCACCTCTTTGTGCCACATCGTCCACATCTGAAAAGTGTGCATCATACCAGAGACGGCATGGATCATTATAACATGTAAGCAGTGGGTACAGACCTGGCATATATTAGACCTAAAACAAATGTGTGTTGTAGCCGCTATTGATGAAGTGACCTGTCTTAAGATGAATGAGGAAAAGATGGATTTTCTCTCTTGTCTTTCAGAGTCTCCTTTAATTCCTTGTTTCATTTTGTGTGACTTGCAGTTCCAAGGAGAGTTTCGGGACAGTGGAGAAAATTGTGCTGCTCACGTTTCTCTCGGCAGTTATCTTGATGGCCATCCTGGGGAACCTGCTGGTGATGGTGGCTGTGTGCAGGGACCGGCAGCTCAGGTGAGCAGCAGGAGGAAACCTGAGTGGCATTCTGGGCACTCCCTGGGGAGTCAGTAAAGACCATTTCTATCAGATTTTGTAACTATGGTGGAAACTAAATAAGGCATGGTAATAATTTTCAGAAAATTGAGTAGGGAAAAGGGAATCATAAAACTCTAACACAATTGTTATTAAGTACTGTTGAGTCAGTTCCAACTCATAGAGATACTGTATAGGTTTCTGAGGGTGAGTTTCAACCACCAACATTACAATTCAAATGATTGTGCTCCAGCGCTTATCCTACAGTGCCAATTCAGGACTCTATCACAATTAGTATTAACAATTAAATATGCTTTCATCCTTCTTTTTTTTTTTTTTTACATCTGTATTTTTTAAATGATTGTCCCAGTGTGACACTCTAGGATAAATAACAGTGGGCAGCTAACCACATGGTCAGTGGCTCAAGCCCACCAGCTGCTTCTTGAAAATCCTATACAGAATCATTTTTAGTCAGAACTGACTTGATGGCACTGAACAACAACATATATATACACATATGTAATCTGACCTACACACCTTATCAATAGTTTAGAGAAGGGGTGATCTAGGATTGAAACTTGCATCTACTGCTTTTCCTATCTTACCAGTCCTAACTCTGTCTGAAATTAGAATTACATGAAAAGCTAGGAGTCCTGGCATGGAACTGCAGGATAATGCACTGGACCACAAGGTTGCTAGTTCAAATTCACCAGCTGCTCCTCAGAAACCCTATATAGGATCTCTATGAGTCAGAACCAACCCAATGGCACTTAACAACAACAACCATGTGGTATAAGGTTGTCCCATGAAATATTTGTGGGAAGAATCTAGTAACACCAAGAAAGTGTGTTTGGGAGCAGAGTGATTGATCCCTGTACTGTGAACTTCCTACGCCCTGGGGAAGATTGATGACAAGTACATTCCCAGAGAGCTGACAGAGAAAGCTTTTCCTATAGCTGGTGCTCTGAATTCAGACTTGTGCCTCCTATTTGTGAGAGGATAAATTTCTGCTTGTTAAAACCAAAAAGAGAAATATATCAAGTTGTTGTTATAGTTGTTGTGTGCCATTGAATCATTTCTAAGCCTATTGGATAGAGTAGAATTGCCCCACTCTCAGGTTTCCTAGGCTGTAACCTTTGCAGGATTCTTGGTGACACTCAGCTGGTTAGGTGCTCAATTGCTAGCTGAAATGTCAGTGGCCCAAATTCACCAATCACTGTCAGAAGCAAGATGTAAAAGTGTCTTCTATAAAAATTTACAGCCTGGAACCCCTATGGGCAGTTCTGCTCTGTCCTTTAAGGTCGTTATAAGTCTGAAAGGCAATGAGTTTGTTTTTGGTTAAACTTTATGGGAGCAGCTCACCAGCCTTTTGCTCCCACAGAGGTACAGGTAGGTTCAAACCACCAACCTTTTGGCTAGTAATCAAATGCTTAACCACTGCACCACTGTTGTTGCTGTTGTTAAGTACTGTGGAATTGGTTCCAACTCATAGTGACCTGCACTGGGTTTCTGAGGCTGTAAATCTTTATAGGAGCAGAAAGCTTCATCTTTCTCCCATGGAACAGCTGGTAGTTTCAAACTACCAACCTTGAGGTTAGCAGCCCAATTCTTAACCACTATGCTACCAGAGCTCCTTAGAGATCATTAATTGGAAAATAGTTACACTAAAAAGAAATAACATTTATTTGAAATCCAAATTTAACTGAGTAACCTGGTGTGGCGCTGTGGGTTAATGCTCCAGACTGCAAAGCTGTTTGAACTATAAGATCGGTGATTCAAGCTCACCAGCTGCTCCTTGGAAACCCTATACAGAGTTGCTAAGTGACTCGATGGCACTTAACAACAACAACAACAACATCCTGTATTTAAATGGCAACCCTAGGCATTCTGAGCTAAATAATTTAAGGTTAAACCTTAGCATCAATATTTATGAATATTCTCCAGGTGATTCTGTATGCAGCCTGGACTGAGAACTGCCAGGCCATAAAAAAGGGCAAAGATGTAGTACGTGCCTTTATTTGTTGTGGTCCTCTATAATCAAGGCATGCACTGAGCAAATGATGCTGCAAATAAGTATGAAAGTACAATTCTGACAAGTGTCACAAACATGAAGTCCACAAACATTTGGAAGAAGAGAATTTTAGGAAAGTCCTTGGGAATGATCAAAATGAGTACTGAAGAAGTACCATTGTTGTTGTTAAGCGTCATGGAGTTGATTCCAACTCATAAGACCCTGTATAGGGTTTCCAAGGAGCAGCTAGTGAGCTTGAACCACTGATCTTATGGTTCAAACCGACTTTGCAGTCCAGCACATTATCAAACATGGGACCAGTAGTGCAGGGAAGTGTCCCAGGAAAAGTGGGTATCTTATGTAAAGGTCCTGCCATGTGGAGTCCAAGGCCTAGGGAGAGCTTAGATAAAGTCATTGAGCCAGGTAGAGTTGAAAAATAGAGGGCTATTGGTGAAAGGTGAATCTGGAGAAGTCAGAAGAGACAGGATCACTGAGGGCTGGGTCAGCCGTGTTACAGAAGGGAAACATGAGTCTCAAAGAATACACACATTGTCTTGTCCTTTTCCTACTTTCTACCTTTCCTTCCTTCTCCTCCTCCTCTTTCCTCTCTTCCTCCTTTTTTTCTTCTCTCCTTTCTTCCTTCCTGTCCCTGACTACCGCTTATACTTTCTCTCACAGGAAAATAAAAACCAATTATTTCATTGTATCTCTTGCCTTTGCGGATCTACTGGTTTCGGTGCTGGTGATGCCATTTGGTGCCATCGAGCTGGTTCAAGACATCTGGATTTATGGGGAAATGTTTTGCCTCGTCCGGACATCTCTTGATGTCCTTCTCACCACAGCTTCAATTTTTCACCTGTGCTGTATTTCGCTGGATAGGTAAGCATAAAGTCATGTGAAGCATGGGGGGCAGCATGCTAGAGACAGTGGCTAGTTTGATATTGTGCATTGTGTTGCTCTGTTTCCTAATCCAATAAAATAAATGACTCAAAGTTAAAATTAGTTATTTATTTACTCTCTGGTCTTTGTGGAGGGTCCCTTCTTGATTAGGCATTTTCTTAGACACTCAGACAAGAGAATAATAAGACCAGAAACTAGCATAGCAGGTTACGAGTTGGGTTGCTAACCAAAAGGTCAGAAGTTCGAATCTACCAGCTGCTACAGGAGAGAAAGATGAGGCTTTCTGTTCCTGTAAAGAATTACAGTCTAGGAATGCCTATACCAGGCTGCTGTGACTAGGAATCGACTCCATGGGACATAACCATAACAGAACTTCCCTTCAAGGAGTTTACTATCGAGACAGCTAGTTGTCATTAAGTGCCGTTGAGTCAGTTCTGACCTATAGCCACCCTGTATAGGGTTTCCAAGGAGCAGCTGGTGAGCTTAACCCACTGACCTTGTGAATCAAACTGACTTTGTGATTGATCACATTAACCCACAGCACCACGCCAGGACCCCTAGACAGCATGAGATATTACCAATCTAGTGCGTCATAGAGCTCTGAATTTTACACTGATAGTATGATCATAATTTTGAGGGATCCTGGTGGCAAGAGTTAACATGATGGCCTAGTAGGCAGTAGGAGTAATTTGAAATAACAATGCCTTACATTTGAGCATGGCCTTTACCTGAAATATGTGTTTGTATCATAACTGTATTTGTTAAACTATATGCATGTAATTGTGGGTAAATTGGGAGCAAGAGGTTCTAAGGATTATTACAAAATGTCCAATAATTGCTTGTGTTTTGGACCTAGGCCTAGGTAGAATTTTATTCCTCCTGCATAATTTTGTTCTTTTTCTTCACATTTGACTTTGTGAAGCTGAATGATTTCCAACTTTGTGCTATTTGTACTCTGTTGGAGATGTATGCTTATCACTTGTATCAGTTTTTCTCGTTTTCTAAGTCCTGCTCATTTGTATACAATATTAAAGAGAGAATGCAATTTGAAAGTCAGATGACTATACCAACATATACTGCCATTAATGTAGTCATATCAAAGGGATTATCTCACCAAAAGAGTGTTTATAGCAAATCACTTGTTTTGGAGTTACTTGGGGAAATCTTTTCATATCTCTCAGGAAGACCTGCAAATCCAGTTTCTCCTTCAGTCTTGAAACAAGTCAAGGACTAGAAAAAAAGTAGGTGATCAAAATGACAGATAATGGTATTTCTAAAATATGTACCTTCAAACACTAAAGTCATCTTGGGCCCAGAGAATTGTTCACATTGATAGAGGACCACAAGGACAAAAGCCAACTGAGGGAACAGCAGCTTGATCTCCATCTCATGAGATATGTTCTCATTGATTGCAATGGCAGACTTATGGCCTGCCCTGCTTAAATTGTACTCCTCTCTTTCTTATTTGCTTTGCCATAAACACGTAGTTGAATGTGCCTAAATTAAATGCATATATAATGAGACTCCACTGTACAGCTAGAGATAATGACCCGGGTGATGTCATAGTTTGAAATTTGTACTTATTATCTCATTTGCAACAATCTGGATTCGTGAAAAGACTTTTAAGAGTTCCAGTGTATACTGACAATTCACATTACAAAAATAAAATGCAATGAAGGAGACCATCTACTATGGAAATCCAGGGTAACTTGGATATGTGCCAAAATGAGTGGTGAATGAGACTGAGAGTATTACAGAATTACTCCAAATGCAAGATAAACCTGGGCTTACTTGTGCTTACTTGCTATAGTGAATTATATTTTTACCACATCAAATATTCTGCATCTAAGTATGGCTGGCATCTGTCTCTCTTTCAACCACACAGCACCTACCAACAGACTGAAAGCCATTTTTCAGATTTGCAGTTCATCATAGGAATAGAGTTCCAAGTAAGCAAGGTATGCATGGGCTTACTTGTACTGATGTACTAATCTGTAGTGAGTAATTTTACATGAGACAGTAAAATCCATGTGAAACCGTTCACTAGAGATTAATAAGTAAACTCATTCTTTCTTTGTTTACTGGGTAATCCACACTTGATTTTAGGGTTTGGAGAAGGCAAGAAGAAGGTTATTAGGGCAGCTGAAAGTAACTTTGAAGTCTGAGCAAAAGCTAATGAAGCATGGTGAAAAGTATAGAATCAGGTCTTTCTGGTGTGGACAACTTCCTCTAGGCATCCCTAAGAAGTCTGAAAGCTTAATAGGCAGAATTGACTTCAGAGTTCCAGATTTATCCTCAAGTTCTTTTAGAATCATGAAATCTGTACATAGGTCTGAGTTGTTCTGAACAATATGAGTGGTCATTTAAAAACGCCTACTTTAGAATCGAAGAGTTTTCGGTTCGAACCTAGGAGCCCTGGTGGCAGTGTTTAAAGTACTTGGCTGTTAATCTAAAAGCCAGCAGTTAGAACACACCAGGTGGTTTATGGGAGAAATATGTGACAATCTGCTTCTGTAAAGATTTACAACCTTGAAAATCCCATGTGATAGTTTTCTGTCAGATAGGGTCACTTGTGAGTGAGAATCAATTCTATGACAATGGGTTTGGTTTGGGTGTTCAAATCCCAGCTCTGCCACTTTTTTTACTTCTGAGAATAGTGATAAATTACTTAGTCTCTCTGAGTCTCCATTTTCTCATCCTAAAACAGGAGAAATAGCACCTACTGTATAGGTTTTCTGTTGAAATTAAATGTGGTAATCCAGGGAAAGCATAGCAGTGTGCATGTTGGTACAGCACGCAGTATTAGTCTTGAGACTCTCCACATAACTACTGATCCCTCTTTCCAAGCTTGGACTTTTTTCTCAGTCAATAGCTGCTACAGTCACTGCATCAGTCAAAAACCAATTAATTATTCTTAGTAATGGTATTTCTTTACTTCCTATATTTAAATAATGACAGGTCGTATTGATTTTTCCTTCCTAAGCAGATGCTCATCTGTCTACATCTCTTCACTCTACCAGTCTAGTCCAAACTAATATCATCTCTTGCATAAAACAGTGCAGTTAACTCTTACTTGTTCTTTTCAAGTCCGTTTTATTTCTCTCCAATCCACTCTCCACATACAAAATCTCATGACAGTCTTTTAAATAATTCAACTCTAGTCCTGTTGCTCCTTTGCTTTAAACCCTTCAATGGCTGTTGGTTTCATTGAGGATCAAGGTCAAAGTCCAGGCTTATAACACTATATTGTCTCTCTCTTATCCTTGTCCCCAGCCTTGCCTCAGGCTTCTCACCAACCTCACTCACTATTTATGCCTGTATTGACCTTCTTTCTCTTTTTCCAGTATTCTATTCTTAACCGCCTCAGGACTTTGGTCCATTCTGCATAGAAATGTCACTTGCCTCCTCTCCTGTCTGTTTTTTCAGCTTGCAGCTTAGTCTTCTCTACTTAGAGAAGCCCACGCTAACTCCACCAAGCCCATTCTTCTTTGTAGAATTTAGTGCAGTTGAGAATAAAGGCAATTGTGTAATAGCTTCCTATTAAATGCAGTTTCTCCTGCAGTGGACGGAAACGTCAGGTTGTGAATAAGGGTAAGGCCCCTGCCGTTATGGAACTTACTTTTTTTTCTTTCACTTTTTTATTGTGAATTGGGTAAGAGTTTACAGAACAGATATTCAACAGAATTCATTCAAATTTTTTTTCATGTAATTGAATTCAAATTTTTGAATGTGACACCATTTTCTCCCTGTTTTTCACATTTCCATTCTTCCTTCTTTTCTAATCCTTCCTGCCTTTTGAATTTTGTCTTCGGGTAAATGCTTCCCTTTTTTATCTCAAATGGTGATTATTCTAAGGCATTTATATTTCCCTAGTATTATTGTTCCCCTTATAAACCTATCTATAGTTAGGCTGAAAACTGAGTCACTGGGGTGAGTTCAGCTCCGGTTTTGAGGGTTATTTAGGGCCCGGATTCCCTTGGTTTCCCCCGTTTTTTTTCACCCATTAGGCGTTTTTTTTTTTTTTTAATTTTGGGGTTTTTTTTTTACATCCCCACTACTACCACTACACACATACACTCTATCCAGGACCTTTTAATGTGATCTGTCAGTAGTAGTAGCTGGGCACCATCATATTCTGGTTGCACGGCCATGGAGACTTAGGCTCGCATGGTCTTTTAGTCCATTGGATTGTTTTCTTGCAGCTTCACTTTTCTTCACTCTCTTTTGCTCTAGATGAAGAGAAAACAATAGTTGCACCTGAAAAGGAATTTACATTCTAAAGGAAGAAGTCCTAGTTACAAGTAGAGCTGATAACCAAAAGGTCAGAAATTTGAATCTACCAGCCTCTCCGTGGGAGAAAGATGAGCCTTTCTGCTCCCCTAAGTATTTACAGTCTTGGAAACCTTATAAAGGGTCTCTAGAGTTGGATCCAACTCGATGGCAAAGAACCACCACCACTACTACATTCCAATGGAGAAGTTTGACAATTAGCCAGCAAATACATAATTATGCATTTAATTGTATGGTAAAAACTTAATAAATAGAATGCTCAGCACATTCTATTTGTGAGCAATGTTAAAATATCCTATTTAAAGAGCTTGTGTGGTGTAATGATTAAGCTAACCTAAAGCTAGGTGGTTTAGACACACCAACTACTCTGTGATAGAAAGATGTGTCAGTCTGCTTCCATAAAGATTTATGGACTGTAACTGTTCACACTTTTGCTCTTTCCTATAAGATCACTTTGAGTCAGCATCAACGAAACAGCAACAAGTTTGTTTTTTATTTCTTGCAACATCCATTTCATTCTCTGATGTTGCTGTTGGTAAGTACCATTGAGTCAGTTCCCACTCATACTGACACTCTGTATCGGGTCTTTGAGGAATCTCTGGTTGGTTTAAACCAACAACCTTATGGTTAGCAGTCCAGTGCTTATCCTACAGTGCCACATGAGGACTCCTGATGGTGGACATGAAAAA